CAAAAAAAAATCATGTCACAAAAGAGACACGGGAAATCTGCGCTTTAAGGTTGGAAGCGCTGAGTTTGGCCATTTCTGTGGCGTTCGCAGCTCAATGGCTACACCTGGACTAAGTCAGCTCTTTCTCAAAGAGATCCATGGGCGATCCCGGCGACTGCATTCCTGGCTTTCCGTGCGGCCGGCGGGCGCTTATATGAATTGAAGAAGGCACGGCAAGAAAAGGTTGCCCTGTAGCTGGCAAGTCATCGCTCCAGGGACACGGTGTCCTTTCCGGGTGGCCTTCAAGGACAAACCCCTCCAAGCGACTGACTTGCCGTCCAGCAAGAAAACCTAGAAACTCCATTTGGAATGTGGGGGGTAGCCCCCCTCCCTCCAAAAGGGACTTTGGTGTTTGCTCGTTTCAGGGTTACGTGGGGCCTGTGCCGGCTCATCCTTTTTGTTTTTTGTTTTTTTTGTAATCATCATCATCGTCATGCATGCGTCACTCTTGTCGCCGCGGCCAGTAAAAACCGGCAAACCTGTTCTCTAACATTTTCCCCCTTCTTCCGGAGTCCAATGTTTGATGAAGAAGTGAGCCCAGAGCCTCAACACGTCAACGCGACGAGCCGCCCGCACAGTGTGTGCGGGCGGCGGTGAGAAAGGGGGCTCGTGCGCGATGTTGTGGCCCGGGCGAAAGTGCTGACCGTGTCGGCGCGCACAGGAAGGAGGAAATCGCTGGGGCAAGAATGAGGATGCTTGCTGAGGTGGCGTTCCTTGCCTTTGTCTCGTACTGGAAGCGCCGCGCTCACTGCCAACTATCGAGCCCTTTCCATCACAAAGCAATCTTTGCGCTTCGCGCTGGAGCAAAAAAGAAAACAAAAACAACAACTTAAGATCTGTTCTCACTCCTCCGAAGCTGACCGTTGTCCTGCCTATGACCCAAATCTTTTCCCAGCGAAATCCAATTGCGCATCAGCGACCTCCGTGACTTTTCCACAGAAGCCGTCCAGTCGGGGCGCCCGCGTGCGTCAACGTGATATCAGATTTGCGAGAGCGTCACTGTTTGGACACATTGGAGCTGACGTTCGTCTGCGCGCATCGAACGCTGTCGTGACTTAGCGTGCCCACAATTGCTCAAAGGAATCCGTTGGAGGCGCCTGCCTCGAGCAGACGAACCGCCACACGTTTTTGTACTGGTCTTGATTTTATTTTGAAAAATCCACCATTTGCCCAATGTGGGATGTGTAACGTCCAAATTCTTCTTTTTGTCGGACTAGATTGCGTTCAATGGAGAAGGTTCACGAGACTTGGCACGGATCGGATGGGCGGATGTTTTGAGTCGCTTCCAAAATCGCTTTGAACGCGGTCCTTCAAACGCGACGGCGTTCACTCTAGCGCCCCGAAGCGTTTCGGCGGGTGTCAATGATCGGCGGTCGATGTGCCGGGCCGGTCCCGATCCCCCGCCGCACAAGTCGGTTCAATCGGTCGGTCCACCTTGGGATCGGCTATCCGTTTTCCACCGCGCTTATCCTGCGCGGGGTCGCTTGCCGGAGCTTCTCCCACCTGACTCTGTGGTGCGGCAGACACCGACCGGGAGCATTTCCCTTCAAAGACAAACGCCGAGAGAATTTGTCCGATTCCGACCACATTTCGAGTATTTCGACTCCGCTGAAGGATGCCGCCGAACGCTCAAGTATCGGATCGGCCAACTGACGGTCTTCCGTTGCTGCCGTTTTCTCGACAGGGCGACAAGAACAATGGCTTTGATGTGCTGTACCACAACATGAAGCACGGACAGATTTCCTCCAAGGAGCTGACCGACTTCATCAGGGAAAGGTAAAAAAAAAAAAAAAAAAAAGAGAGAGAGTTCAACAATCTTGTTGTCAGCCGAGCGAGAACTTTCGTTGAGCTCCTAGCTTCCTTTCCAGCCTGAAACCTCGGCACGTCAGAGCCAGAATCTAAAATGTCCCCAAAAAGCCACTCGGAAAAAAATCTTACAAGAGCGCCGCTCTTTGCCAGCTACCTGTGTTGAGAAATGTGCATGGAAGACATGTAGTCATCATCGGAATAGTAGCGACGTGTAAAAATGCTGGAAATAATGCTTGCGTCAAGAACAATCATAATTGTCCATAATATGATAATACCGTCAAAGTCTGCAAAATCATATCGATGTGAATGTCAGCGAAACGGGTTGTGTCACATGTATCGGTAACACACCAGATACAAACGCGGCATCTGTAGGCGTCGTCAGAGTATGTCCAATAACACGACGCTGTAATCGTCTGTCAGATGAGAATAGTCAGTGAAATCGTCTCAATGACTTGTAAAACTGCACTTCAAAAAATATGTCAATCAAGCAAAGCGATTTCCATGAAAATCTGACACCAATCCGTTCAAGTCGAACGTGAAAACAGCAACCACGGCAAAAGTAATGGCACTGAGAAATGAATAGAAAAAAGATCAAAAGGAAATTCCGTGCAAAGATAAGTGTCGGTAACATGAAACAAGAAAGGTCAAAATAATCGGATGGGAAATAAGAGGGAGGGAGCCCACCGCGAGCGAAAGCGTGTGTTGGAGCAAAGAGAAAGTGCTGCGGGGCACACAAATGCTTGATTTTGTCTCCCTCTGGCGGCCGACTCGTCACCCTGCAAATCCGCCGCGCCCGCGCTCCAGGAGCGTCATCGAAGAGGCCTACGCCAGGTCCATGACCAAGCTGGCCAAGACGGCGGGCAACTTTTCACAGCTGGGGTGAGTGGAGCGCACTTTTGAGCCGCGTCGACCCGGTCCCAACGTGTGTCGGCGGCCCTCTCCGCCGCAGGACCTTCGCGCCGGCGTGGGAGCTGTTCAAGGGCTCCACGGAGAAGCTGGCCGCGTGCCACATGGAGCTGGTGCGCAAGCTGCAGGAGCTCATCAAAGACGTGCACAAGTACGTGGACGAGCAGGCCAAAGCGCACAAGAAGGTGAGCGCCGCGTTTCAGGGGATCTCTTGCCCGCAGCGTTTCTGCATTTGATAGCTCAGCGGCGGATCAAGAAGAAAAATGAGGTTCTCCGTCTCACTCTTCCGTCAGACAAAAGAAGAGGTGGCGTCCACCTTGGAGGCGGTGCAGAACATCCAGAGCACGGGGCAGGCCCTGCACAAGTCCAAGGAGAGCTACAACGCCAAAACCGTGGAGCAGGAGCGCCTCCGCAAGGAAGGGGCCACCCAGAGAGACGTGGACAAGGTAGGACGGCGATACCGACGCTGCCCTTCGACGCTCGACGGGCCGAGTCGCGGGCCGCCACGGCCTCCTTTTCTCGCTGCCGATTCCGCCTCCCACCTTGCCGCGAGAGCTCGGCCCGGCGCGGCCTCCGCTTCAAAATCCACGCAAGCGGACGCGGTGGAAAGCAGGTGTTCTTGCGCCGGGCCGGGCCCGTACCGACGGAGCGCTCTTTGTTCCTTCCTTTTCAGGCCGGACTAAAAGCCAAAAAAGCCACAGAGACGTACAAGTCGTACGTGGAGAAATACGCCTACGCCAAGTCAGACTTTGAACTCAAGATGGAGGAAACGGCACAGGTAGGATCTTTTTGCTTTGCCCCCGTGAAAACGTGGCGATCCTCGTCGTCTTTGTCGCCGTCGACACGGCAGACATGAAGCCCGCCGCCGAAAAGCGCTCCACACGGCGTCTTGCCGCCAATTCTTTGGCTGGAAGCGTGGCACCTCGGGCCTCGTTGGCCCGCGGTCCCCTCGGGGAGCGGCGTCTTCCGCGCAGCCCGTTTTTCTCTTTGCTCTTCAACGCGATTGGTCAGGTCGGTTTCAGCGGCCAGCAGAGGGTGCCCGGAGGTCGCGGTGCCGGTCGGGGCTCAGAAAGGCCGGTCTCCGTCCCACGCTTTCGGGGGATCGCGTGAGGCTGTCGTTCTCCGGGGTCGGCCACGGCGAGGCGACCTCAAAGCACCCATTCACTTCAAGTGCCGTTGGTCACCCTCCCGTCATCTGGGTTCCGCGCAAACGTAAAAGACGTCAAAGTGGCACGCCGCGAGGCTCGCGGGGAGGTCGCATTTTCGCTGGGTTTAGTGTGAAAAGTTGGAGAACCGCCGAGCTCGAAAAAGAAAACGGCACGAGCGCAGCTGTTCATCCTGCATGTGGAAAAGTGGCACTTGGTTTCACATTTTGTCTGCTTCCATTGCAGAAATTCCAGGCCATCGAAGAAAGCCACGTCCTCCACATGAAGGACATCATCCGCTCGTACTCGCGGGCCGTGGACGAAACGCACGTGCAAATAGGAGAGGTGAGTGCGCGCGCGCGTGCTCCGGAACATTCCGGCGGGTGGAGGCGGGCGTTGACCCCACCGGGTTCACTGGGCGTCAGATCCATTATTGTCCGCTTTGATCACGCTAATGCTTTCGCCGGCGAGCAGGAAACGCGCCGTTCGGCCTTCCGCGCCCGACAATTAAGAAGTGATCAAAACCCCGGTGCGAAAGGAAAGGCGCCTCCGTCACCCTCCCGGCATCGTCGCCGCTTGCTTGCTAACTCGTAGGGTTCGCGCCGCCGGCAACCGCGGCGGGA